TATAAATCAGGCTGTGTATCCTAAATTAGTTGCATCCTAATGACTATCTGTAGTTCTTAGTGCAAAGAAGTGACAGAAATTTAGATACTTTCAAAATCTAAGCATTTACAGTCTTCAGACATGTCCCAAGAAGTCAGTGTACCAAACCTTTGTTTACCTTTTCCAAACACTACACCTCGTCTAATTGCACAGCAGGCTAAGATCTGTCCTGACACCTCCTTTTCAATTATTTCCTGCCTCTTCAAATATAGTATTTCTCAGCAGTTATTTAATAGCTACCAGAATGATCCCAGATTTATTCCTCTTTAAGAACACAGTATCGTAGAAATATAGAATATTCTGAGTTGGAAGGGACCCACAAGGATCATGAAAATCCAACCCTTGACCCTGTACAAGACATCCGCAGGAATCATATCAAGCACTTCTTGAATTATGTCAGGTTTGGTGATGTAACCACTTCCCAAGTGCTCAGCTGTGGAGCAATACAAATTGAACTGCCATCACCACAGTGAAGCTCTCGGCTACCCTCTGGGTAAATAACCTTTTCCTAACATCCAGCCTAAACCTGCCCTGACACAGCTTCTACACCATTGCCTCTTATAAGAGCTAAGATTTTCTTAGTTTCATAAAGGAAACATAGCTCTTTAACTTTGACAAATGTACAGAGAACAAATGATTTTACAGAATTATGCCCTTTGTACTAAATGAAGAATCAGCCCTGCAAGATATATTTAGGCATGAAGTGATTTGCCCTATATAAAGCAGCCTGCAGCACATGTTCTCTTTGGTAGTGACAAACAAATGTCACCCAGAGCAAGAACTCTCTAAAACCTCACACTGACAATGGATTCCACCTCCTCCTCGGTGTCTTGGGGAGGCTGAATCCAGAAACATGATTTATCTCCCTGATAGAACAGGGCTCTGGGCTGGGATTCCATACAACTTATCACCAGGATATTAGGGAATCCCTAGGGAATTGCCATTGCACCATATCATACTCCAAACAGAAGATGCCCAGATAGACAGACAGACAAGCAAATTCCTCACACCACTCTCTGAAACAAAATCAAAAGAAACGCATTATTATCCCATAAGTTACAAATGCCTAATAGGAAAAATTCTTGCAATACATTTGAGTCCACATGCAGAGGTGACTTAGCCAGTGATATGTGCTGTGCACTTTTTAAGGAAAATGAGGTAATTCTAGTATTATTTGCTTGAATTAAAAAAAAATGGAGAATTTTCTTCTGCATCTTAAGCAATGGCAAGTCAGATAGGTAAAATTACTTCTCTAGGCCTTCCTACTGAAACAATGATCTGATACACCTGACAACATTCATTTTCAACTTTGGACTGTGTGACCAAGTGTTATTTATCTAGTGTATCTAACACAGTGCTGCAGTACATACAATTTAGATATTGCAGTCTAAAATTCAAAAATGAGCTTCAAAGACGACATTCCTTCCGTATTGTTAGAAACTGGGTATGAATAGCTTCTGCTGCTTTGCAGATTTTGCACAACAGCTCTTTTTATGTGACTTTACAAATTCAGGTTATTTTCATTAGTCTTACTATCAAAGTGAGGACAGATTATAAAGCTCCTCAGCAAGATGCAAAGAGGATCCAAAGGAAATACCAATGCCATTTAGAAGGGAACTGCCTTAGTGAAGATTCCTTTCTTTTTCTTCCCTGTGAAGGACTGAAGAGTGCAAAATAGTTCATGTTTTCAAAGGCTATTGTTTGCAGTGTCTGAATAGAGTGGTTGGAGGAGATGAGGTGAAGGGTGTACAATTTTTATCTGCTACGTGCATTTGGGATGTGAGAAATATCATGTGATATATTGGAAGTACTGGGTGGGGTTCAAAAAGGAAAATTGGGCATTTCTCTACTGTTTTGTAAAGCTCAGTAGCACAGACCTTCTTTGAATATCTGCCAGAAAAATAAACAGGAGATAGGTCATAAAGGCTTCATGTCCCGGAATAAATTCCTTACAATAGTAGTTATAGAACAAGAAAAAAGTTTTCATCTGTAATTTCCTGTTGCTAAAGTTTTAATTTGCAGCTACATGAACGTCTTCTGCTTTATTCTGGCAGCATTGAAGTAAAAATGCACACTCTGATCTTACTTGAGATCAAATTATTTTAAATCATGAGGACAAAAGCAATCCCAAACGAGATTTACTGCCATTTCTCAAAATGCTGAATGTACAAAGGGTATGAAAATGCCTTTACTTCTAGAAGGTTGAAATCTGAATAGCATTGACATATGGTTTAAAGGGTTTTAAAAAATCCTGTTATCTCCATTGTACAGATGGGAAATTGAGGCAGAGAAAGGATAAAAACTTGCCAAAGGTCAAATAAGAAATCTCTTCCGATACAACTTTTCTCTCTAGCATATCTCAGTATGAGTTTATAGTCACCTAAGAAAGAAATGTAGTAATCCACATAACATACTTCATCCTGGACATCTTTCTCTTATCATTATTTCTAAAATAAGTTCAAACCAACACTGTCAATCTCCTCTGAACAGAGTTTACTGGTGGACTTAGCAGTGCTGCATGAACAATTGGACTTGATAATCTTAAAGATCTTTTTCAACCTAAAGGATTTTTTGTTTCTATATGTTTGTGAAGGACAGTGTAAAAGGATGCATGCACCAATTAATGAAAGCAGAGTCCATCACAAAGCTGTCTGGACTATTTTTGAGAGGTTTGAAAGTTAAATTAAATCCTCCTGCCTCAGAAGCTGTCACTGCAAAGGAAAACTGTGTGACTGATCTGGTACCACACACAGTTTACAGCATAATGGACATTACGGAGCATATTGAACATAATAGACATGGGTTCCTTTAATTACAGTGTTTTAAAGCAGGGAGACTTCTATCGCTATCTAGACTTGCAGCAGAGCAACTCAGCAAGGAGCCAAGGAGAATCAAGTCCTTGTGCTGCAGGAAGATGGTGACACACTTTAGTGCTGACTTGACAACAGGAAAATTGCAGTATTCATACATGATAAATCACATGCATTGAGCTGAGTGAACAGCTTGCAGTCAGCACTTCCCTGTGAGCAGTGAAGTGAACCAGGACCACAGTGTGAAGCATCTGCTCACAGTCTTCAAAGCTTACCAATGATCTCAGCATTTGCACTCTTCTGATGAATAAGGAATGCCAAATGACTATTTTAGAGGTGGTTAGAAGACTGGAAGAGGTGAATCGTTTTGGCAGTATCTAACGTCAGAGAGCAGGAAGATGCTTTCAAGGATCTTTAAGGAAACATTTTCCTCCAGCCCTAGACAGCAAGTGCCTCTTACTACTCATACAAATAAACTAAGAGCCAGATTTGGTTCAACAGTTTCTCTAGCCTTCATCACAGTCAGATTCGTGCTTGACTCCTGCCTCAGCAATGCCAGTTTCTCTAGGTACACACCCCAGTGGTTATATCCCTCTTTCCCAGAGGTAGCTCTTACCAGTCCTTATTCAACAAGAAAAATAACTGCCTATGTGAGAATTAATTACACAGCCTCCATTAATTATTTACCTGTTGTGAAAGGAGCTACAATCAAAAAAAAGAAACTGGGTTTACTGCTGATTCTCTTATGTTCTTATCCCAGATAGGGAGAAGGATTGCTTTTAAATTATCTCAGTGTTTTGCTCATACTGAAGGGGTTTTTTTAGCTAAGAACTCATTCTTTAAGAGGTGAACTTGTCCAAGAAAAAGTGTCTGCAACCTAACTTTCAACAAAGCCGACTTTAATAGTTCCCCAAGACAGTAATGCTTAGATGTTATCCCTATACTTTGGTCCCAAAAGTCCAGTCTTCCCCTAATAAACATGCATTGTGAGGATACCACTGAAGAAACAGGTTGCACGTTACTCAGCCATGCTGAGGTACTAGAACTAGCATATTGCTTTAAAAGCACTATGAAGGTGAAAAATTATTCATAACCGTTTCTTAGAACACACACTTTGTGTCATGATGAAGCAAGTACTGAATGTCTACTCTGGCTTTTTATAATATTAATATGCACCTGATAACATGAAAAGTCTCTGCTTTGCCTAAGTCCTGTCTTATCACTCACAGCATTTGTTTTAGACAGCTAGCATGCAAATATTTTAAAATTTTAAGAAAAAGGTAACTAACACTGGACACATTTAGAATTTAATTTGTTCTAAAATCTCTCCACAACCACACATGCAAAATACAAAATGCCACCTCTTTCTAGCAGCAGTTAGAGGCATGCAGAACATCCTGGCAGCACCTAGCATTTTACAGAATAAGGCACTGGATAGCAGAAGAAAAAAAGCATTTTGAACGTCAGTGAAACACAGTCATCTCTAAACTAGATCATGTTTGTTGTTTCACAGAGCACACCAAGTCTGTTTAACGGTTTGCAGTAGAAAAGACAGATACTCAATTCATAGCCTCCAAAAGTATTTTAAGTCAGCAAGATACAATGGTAAAGACCAGAATGTGATCAGACTATCACCTCACCATATTCCCCTGACATGTAAAGTTAAAACTTATCTCCTATTATTGTACACAGTCAGATTTCAGTGTTGTGCTTCTTGCTGAATAAAATTTAAGTTTCCAGAATGTTTCATGTCTCAGGTCCACCCTGTTTCTCAGGCCCTCTATTCACCAGGCCCACCGATGATAGAACTGTCTGCTGTTCTGCAGAACCCCTATAAAAACATTAGAGATAATTCCAAGGCCTGCACAGAAGCAAGTCCATTTGCCAGAAGCCTTTGGAATTTCTCAGGTCACTGGGTATTGCACAATACACATTCACTGTCTTCGCTGACAATAAGTCTGGATTTTCTTAAAGTTTCAAAATGTATGTAGAAAAGGAAACAAATGTAGTAACAGTGCACTGGTATGTTGCTGCCTATGTCCTAAATTTCTGTCGTTGGAGCAAGAATTTCTGGTTTCATTGTTGGCATTAGGATGGCCAGTAAACTCTCCTTCCAACTAAAGAAACAAATTGCCTTGAAAAAACACATACCTAGTACATTAGCTGTACACTGGAGAATTCCTGAGACATCTTCAGTTTCTTCATTGCCAGAGCAGTCTGTATAGGAGCATCTGTTTGATATATTGTGAAAATTCTTCTCTGCATCTCTGTAACTACTAAAAAAAAAAAAAAGTTTTAACTACTCCTTATACAAATCAAATGCAAAGTCAACAAATGTCTTTCAGAAGTGGTGGCAAAGGATTAAGATCTCCCAATGATGGGCAATTAAAAGATCCAGCTGGAGAGAGTGCTGAGCCATCTTGTCTAAAGAAAGGTTGGACTAGATGAACTTTGAGGTCCCTTTCCAACCTGATAGTCTATGACTGAAAAAGATTAGCTTTTTAAAAGAAACATTACAGTTCATTAAACAGTCGTCATCTGATGGGATTGTACAGAAGCAGGACTGAACAGCAGTTTACCATTTACATCCAGATTAGGTATTGCTATTCCAAAGTATCTCTAAGAATTTGAGAGAAAAAATTAAAAACTAAATTAAAAAGCTTATCATGTAAGGCTGTGAATTGGAAAGCACAGAGCAAAACATTACCATGCACCTTTCGCTACCTCACATTAACACTTACCCAATAACTTGATGCTCAAAATACTGCAGGGTCTTTTGAAGAGTCTGCCGAATGGTCTGAGGCTATGGAAGAATAATTTTAAAAATTGTGAGATTAGGGAATTGCAGCGCAGTTCAATTAACAGATCTTTTAACGCACTATTTTTCTCCAGTTTTACTCCTCTTTATCTTCCACCAGCCATATGCCCATCGCAACAATAGATATGAAATATTATTATTCATTCCTTGTATCTTACTTTACTATTAAAATAGGAAGAATTTTACAATGTGGCATAATTAATATTGCTCGTAAGGCTAGTTGCACATAACAAAGAAGCCACTTCACTCTCAAAAAAAGCTCTCAAAAACTATCACCCACCAACTATCTCACTCATTTAAAATAATTAATTTGAAATAGTCTGCAAGAAAATGCCATTATTTTGTGATGAAAGTATCACCAGGAAAAGGCATTGAGTTTTTAAACTCTATATGCTCCCTACAGCATTTTCTAATAAAGAATATTACAAAGATGCAATTTATTTTGCCTTATTTTCCTGACAAGCTATAACTCTTCAGTCATCTTTCAGATTACTAGGAAAATCAAGTTCATCAAAAGAAAATCATTACATGCTTCAAGCATTTCTATGCTATTTCACTTTAATAGGTGTTCACCAAACTACACATATGCATAATTTTCTTTATTTGCATTATTACCTCTACTATGGTGTTCACCAAAATACTTATGTATATAAATGTTTATTTTCTTACTATTATTGCTGCTGAGGCTATTATTATTTCGAATGAATTAATGAGAGATGTTTGGCCAAATAAAGGACATGTGATATCCATGTAATTTTCTCTACTGAATTTTCCAAGTCACTTATGGCAAAATGTTATTCTTCCAAAATTACTAGTTTGCATCAAATCTGAGGTTCTTCACCTGTCTATTTTGACCTGGTACCAGAAGTCAGACAGAGATCACAAATGAGATTTATAAGCTTTTCTTCTGTATCAAAAGCACACACGGACATTTTGATCAGACTCACAACAACATACGTTGAAATTTTAGAAATGTTTGGTCTTTTCCTGCCTTTTGTAATAGACATCTAAATGTTTTAGAAAGTAATAGTCAAAATACCCCTTAATTGGAAGATTTTCATTCTAAAACCACAGTCACCTTTGAAAGTCTCAAATTTTGCTTACCAGCCTACAGATTCAGCAGTTCAAGAGCTGAGCTTTCTACCTTGCTCAAGCTCTTGCTCATGAGTTTGCAGGAGTCATCTGTCCTGATGACAGCAGGAAGAAAAAACTGTATACCAGGCTACACTAGTTTTGTACGACTGCAAAAAAATTATTTTCTAATACCAAACTAGAAGAAAGCGTCTACACTTTTGAATTAAAAAATTAAATTAATTAAATAAAATTGCAAAAAATTGAAATTTAAATGCATGGACTCAACAAAAGCATAAGTATAGCCCAAACTTTTTAGCAGGCCCTGTTGCAGTAGGACAAGGGCAATGGTTTAAAACTAGAAGATGATAGAATTAGACTAGATTTAAGGAAGAAGATTTTTTTATAGCAAGGGTGATGAAACACTGGAACAGGTTGTCCTGAGAAGTGGCAGGTAACCCATTCCTGGAAATATTCAAGGTCAAGTTGAATGAGGCTCTCTCTGGGCAATCTGATTTAGCTGAAGATGCCCCTGCTCATTCCAGAGAAACTGGACTAGAGGACCTTTAAAGGTCCCTTCCAACCCAAATGATTCTATGAGCCTATGAACAAAAAATAAGCTCAACATAGATGCAAACCTTGAAAGAGGTTTTTCTTGTTCACTCTGTATCAGGTAATCACTTTACTTCTCTGCAGGAGCTAAGTTACATGTGCCAAAAGGCTTTAAACATTGCATGTTCTCTTGTAAAACACAATGGAAGCACCATATGAGTGAAACCATCACATATCAAAAAAACATCCTCTCAGTGATACAGCAGGTCTTGAAGTCTTTAGGCCTAATGGCTACAAATATATTTAAAGGCATGTTCTCACAGAAACTCAGAAGCCTTCCTGTGCTCAGCAGGCAGAAAAACCCACTCTTTACATACAGAAGAGATGTATTTTCTCACACCAGAACAAAGCAAAGCAGAATAGCTTTAAGCCAAGAAGTGAGAGCTGCCATTTCCCATCTCCATACAGCATTTCCCTCAGCCCCACTCCCTACACACAGAACATCAGTACTCCACAGGCAACTCCTCTGACATGAAATAGGGAATAATAGAAATGTTTGATTGCTAAATTAAATCTCCATTCTGGTTGTACCAAAGTGCTTTTACAGCAAGCATATGGAATGCAGCAATGCTTGGTATCACAGCAGAGGAAGAAAAACAGCTTTTTGTCTTTTCAAGAAGTTTTTCAGCTTAGAATACCTGAGCAATCATCCACAGACTGTCTTTGTCCTTCTCATGCCCAGCACACATTCTGCACTCCTTAATCAGGGGAAAACCATTTTGACCACCCCAAGATTTGACAATACAAGCACTCCTAGTCCTGAACTTATTTCATTGGAAATCATCCCTTCTCCTGCAGTGCTGAATGGAAAAAAAAAAATATCCCATGTTAACTTTCTCTCCTGAAAGCTAAATCAGTTGCCTAGATGTTGTCAGATAATTCTAAACAGCCCCATGAACTCACACCGCTCTTCCCTGGCAACTCCTATAAAATCTTAGAAATAAAATACAGATTAAAGTAGGATTTAGTATTAAAACACAGGTCATAAACAGGGCTCAATACAATTTGCTCAGAGCCAGAATGAAAACTGATCCAACAAGTCACAAAGTCTTTCTTCATCTCTGACAAGAATTATTATGGCATGTTGCTGTGCGTCGTTAAAAAGCCACTATGCTCACCTTCTCAGTTTGCTACATTTCATCACTGGTGAATGTCATTTTGCTGCAGATGTCATTCTGTAACCAGGGCCATGTCTAAACAAAACAGTGAGAAGAGATATGACACCTGTTTACAGCTGCCTACAAGGGCAGTTTGGTGCACTGCTTCTCCCACTACAGATAACGCGTTGCCCATGAGACAGAGAATGAGCAGGAAAACATTTCCACCTCTTTTCTGAATCCAGTACCAAGACTGGATGGAGGCAAAATAGCTAAATGCTTCTCCTAGCAGCATGGCACATATGACCTCTCCCAGAAGCAAAATTCTACCACTCAAGGAGGTAAAAGACAGCCTTTAACCACACACCTCCTCCACTGTAATGCCATTTGTGCTCAGTGCCATTTATTTACTGAAAAGATTGTAAAGCTTCATGGCTACTTAAAATTAAAAGATTTAATGTATATGTAAGCCAGTGACTATTACCTAAACAATTAAATGTCAATTACTCCTTTTGGTTTTGAAGATTGATTAATATTTGTATGCATCACAAGAGGAACAGTCACATCAGTTCATGTGCCTAAGGAAAAATCAAAGTAAAACAAATTATTGTTACTCCTAACTGTAAATAATTCCAAGCATTGCCATACCAGATCACATCCAAGGTCCATATGGAATGATGATACATAAGGTATACGGGAACACTGGAGATACTCAGACTGATCTCTTGCATACCAGAGAATAGAGGACTAAAATAACTCCGAATTCAGACATCAGGCCATGGCTAACCCTAATGTGTCAGAATATTGTCAGAAATTTGTAAAAAAATGACTGAATCAATGAGTCATACAGGTTTGAGAGGACCTCTGGAGGTCTTTTAGACCAGCATCCTACTCAAAGTAATTTGAGTTATAACTGGTTGCTCAGGTCATTCTTCAGACAAGTTCTGAGTGTCTCCAAGGATGACAATGCCACAACCTCCCTGGGAAACCTGTGCTAGCACCTGAACACCCTCATGACATCTCATTTCTTTTCATAATTCTGATCTTAAACTCCCAACTTTCAGCTTTTTTGCTTCTCATCCTTCTTCCACGCTGTATCCACATAGAAAGCCCGGCTCCATCTTCCCTACACACCCTGCTCAAGTTTAGCTGTAGACTGCATCTTTCTGCTCTTTTCTTCAGAGAATGAACCCCCTTTGCCAGTAAACATCATTTAAAGGCCCCTTCACAAGGCTGTACAGCCAATCAGAGATGACCTCAGCTCACTTTGTCAGATTCTTGCTCAGCAGTCCTTGCCCCTCAGAGCATACCCCATGTGCATGGAGATCACAGCCCTGCCAGCAACACCACCAACGCAGCCACAGACCACATATCAGGTGTACCAGCACCAACCAGAGCCGTCCCCCCTCCAGCAGCAGCATTGAGGAGACCCCAGCTGGGCACTCGCGCCCTTCACCCTTGCACTCAGAGCTGTGTAGTCACTCCTGACATGCTCAAGGTCTCCCCTGGCTCCATCACTGGTGCCCACATGGATGAGCAGCAGTGGTCATAGTCCAAGAGATAATTAAGCTTTGGCAGCCTCTTTTCAACGCTTATGTGCAAGCCCTTGGCAAGCAGCAAGCCTCCTGCGACAGCACGGCAGGCTGGCACATGAGGGCTTCTGTCTCCTCAGGAGAGAGCTTCTGATACCTGCCTCCTCTTCTGGTAGCTTCTGAGGGTTGAGGCTAAGCTGGATCTGCTGCCCCATCCAAAGGGAGGGAGGTCATCTCTCCCACCTCTTCACAGGGCATTTTACCTTCTCTGTACCTGATGAATCACAGGTGGAATAGGGGCTTTAGTTATGTCAGGTTATGTCAGCAGTAACCAACCTCCAGCCTTCTCCATCTTGAAAGTTTCCATCCTTGACTCTCAAAGCTTATCTCTATTTTTCTCTTCCTTCCTTTCAACATGGAGCTCAGGTCCTTAGCTCTGCAGGGCCTTTGGAAAGTTCTGTCCATCCTCCCTGAAGTGTACAGCCTGACTATCTACGACAGCTCTTCCCCCTGGCACCTCACTGCTCTCTGACCAGAGTGCCCAGCTTTTGGCAGCACCAGGCAGCAATCCCACCAGTGGCAGCCCTGCCATCACAGCCACTATTGCTCTGCCAGCCACCACTGCTTACAAGATGCACTTCTAGAGAAATGCGCCCTTCCTGCCAGATCTCAT